ACGAAATCAAGCTAAAAATAAGATTGTATCACTTGGTTTTAATAATATTGAATCACAAACATTAGCAGCTCAATTAACATATTTAGAATGGAAAATTTTACGTCGAATAAATTTTACTGATTATAAAACTTATGCTATTAAAAATACTTTACAAGATAATCCACGTCTTGAACGTTCGATACAATTTTTTAATGGTTTATCAACATGGATACAATGTATGGTTTTGAGTAAAATGACACCAAAACAACGTGCAGAAATTATACATAAATTTCTTGAAGTTGCAAAAGTAATATGATTTATAAAACAAAGATTTTGTTTTTTTTATTATAAACAAATATATTTTAGCATTTAAGAGAATTACAAAATTTCAATACATGCTTAGCAGTTATTGGTGGAATATCACATAGTGCATTAGCTCGTTTATCTAAAACAATGATGTGTTTATCAACAGAAGATATTAAAGTATGATATTGAAGAAACACGAAAATATTTTTTATATATTAATTTTTAGTTTCTAAGTGAAATGACAGATTTACTTTCATCAAATTCGAATTATGCTCAATATAGAAAAAGTTTATCAGAATCCGAAGGTTTTAAAATACCAATAATGTAAATAAGAAAACAAAAAAATTCTTTATTAAATAATTTTTTGTTTTTTTTGAATATTCTAGTGGTGTTCATTTAAAAGATATAATATCACTTCATGTTGCATTACAAGATCGTCTTGAATATGATTTAATTAATTTTAGAAAATTAGTTCAACTAAGTATTGTTTTTCGGACATTAACGAATCTACAAATATCAATACCACCGATTCAACCAAATCATGATTTAATTAATTTATTAACTGTAAGAAGAAGACAAAAAATATACATATATTTGTTTTTCATGTTTTACTTTGTAGCTTTCTGTGGAATTAAGTTATACAGAAGATGAAATTTATGAACTTTCATTAGCACGAGAACCACGATCATCTGTTTCATCGGTAAGGAATTTAAATCTATGTAAAGCTCCATATCGATATATGCCAAGATTCTTCTCTTTATGAAGCTGTTTAGTCTATACCGGAATTATAGATTAGAAATAAACTTTTAATTACTTCTAAGATGATTTTCTTGTATGTACATAAATGACGATATTTCAAGCATTTCGAATTAGTTTACGTCCTTGTATAAGATTATTATTTGATAGTCATATATATAGCATTAATCTATAATAGCGTTCTTTTTCTTATCTTTATAACTAATTGTATTTAGCCTGATCAAATATCTCGAGGTTTATCTCCTGGTGAATCAACAAATGATTCTAACAGTGATCCATTTAAGAAAAAAGAACAAGTTCTAAGTCCAGTTTTTGCTGATTGGGCAGCTGGAGTTAGTCAAACAATTGATATTCAAACTATTCAACGACATGTTAATGCTATGGTTGAAGCAGTTTTTACTACTTATGATCATGATCGTGATGGTTATATATCACATACAGAATTTGAAGAAATTGCACAAAATTTTCCATTTATCGACACATTTACTGTACTTGATGCTGATCAGTAAGAAAACGAAATTTTAATTTTTAAACAAATTAATAATATACATTTTATTCTAGAGATGGAATGATATCCAAAACAGAAATGCGTAGTTATTTTATACGAGCTAAATACCATGATTTAAAAGGTGAATTTAAACATGATTTTCATGAAACAACTTATTTTAAACCAACATTTTGTGTACATTGTACGGGTCTTCTTTGGGGTCTTATTAAACAAGGTTGGAAATGTAAAGATTGTGGTATTAATGCACATCGTCATTGTAAAGATCAAGTTGTTATGGAATGTCGACAAAAACGTCAACATCCAGTTAATAAACAAAGTTCAGTAACTGATTCACGTCCAAGTCGAAATTCATTTCGTATACGTAAAGCACGTAAACAAAAAGCAACACAAACTGAAGATATTAATTTTTCATCGTCATCATCATCTGCATCATCAGAAAGTTGTACAAGTTCATCCGATGATGAACAACAACCACAATCTGAGCAACAACAACAACAGCAACCACAAACTATTGATAAATCTACACCTCATAATCGTTGGCATTTACGTAAACCATCATCATTAAAACGACGTAAACAAATTTTATCTGATTCAAATGATGATTATTATTATACACATCCACCATCACCACAACAAGCAAATTCATTAACAACAATAACAACAGTAAATAGTACAACATCAACAACAACAAATACAATTCCAACACAACAATTAATTCCACGTGGACCATTGATTTGTTCGGATAGTTTCGAAAAATGGAATGATCGACATTTTACATGGAATCGTCCATTACCATCATCAACATTACTAACACCTATGCCAAGTACATCAACAACAACATCAGAAACAACAACAATTAAACAAGATAATGATGAAAAATCATCTATTCAACAGCCATTAATTAATCATGAATCATTTCTTGAAGGTGATATTAGTGATGATGATACATGTTTTACATCATCAAATTCAAATAATACAACATTACAACAAATGAAAATGACAGCAAATTATGGTAGTAGTCAAAATTTAAATCCAAGAAAATTATCATTAACTGAATCATTACGATCATTACCGATAACATCAGAACCAAATCAATTCGAAATTTTTGAAAGATTAAGACAAGCTGAAGAAGTAAGTAAAATGTACTATTGAAAGAAGAAGAAAAACTTTATAGTTTATTACAATTGATATGAATCAGATTGCAATCTATTGATGTTATCATATAAATATTGAAAATTAATTCATATCATGATTTCTACAAAAAAAGAAAAAAATTCTATTTTAATTTAGGAAAAGAAACGTCTTGAAGTCGAAAATCGTGCAATGAAACAAGAACTCGTTCGAACAAAATCCAAAATAAGCTCGTTAAAACGTGAAATGAGTTCCATTCAACAACTGCATTTAGCTCAACAACAAGTTCATGCTCAGTTATCAGCTCCAACAATAGTATCCCCACGACAAGAACATAACCAACAACAACAACATTTACAGATAAATGATCAATCTTCAATATTTCTTTATACAAAAGAAGATTTTGATCAACAAAATTATCAGCAACAAATAACAAATAATATGAAAAATCTTTCAACATCGAGTAATGATGATTCATTATCTCCTCCACCTTTTCTTTTAAATACAAATCAATCATCTTCAACTCAAACACTTTCCTTAACAACAACAAATGATCAACAAACTCATTGTTCTACACATATAGATTCATCTATATCACCATCTGATGAACAATTACGACTCTATCTTACTGAAACATTACAACGAGAAAGAGATAGCGACGTATAATTTAATTTTGTCGGAATGCTGGTCGTTCATTTCTCAAAAATATTTTTTTTTCTCTCTTTTTTTCCTTCGATCTTTATTCTATATACATATGTACTTCTAGTCATTATAATTGCATCAAGAACAATATATTGCGTTGATTTTTTTTTCTAAATTCAAATGCTGGTACATTCCTTTGTCGTCAATTTTTTTTGTTTCTTTTTATAAAATACATTCAATCGAAATATATCTGTTGAAACAATTTATTCGATCTGTTTGATTAAATACTGTCTTATACAAAAAAATTTCGTTTTGTTTTATTGAATACAATGCTTAGTTTGAATTGACTATTATTTTATTCTAGGAGTTCTTCTATCAGTATGTATCAGAGTTGGAACCGGACGGATTTTTTCCATCCGGTCCGGTCTGGCCCGACTACTTTTGACGTCAAACTTGCAAAACTCAGGCAAAATTATGAATTTATACGAATATTTTTGTCACATGCTCTTTTTTAACTAAAACATATACGTATAACAATTCTTAACATGATATTTCAAAAAAAAAACAAATAAAGATTAGTTCTGTTAATAAAAAATTTGAAATACAAATATAATTTTCTAATTTTATGAATCGGTAAAAATTCGGTTTTGGCCGGACCGATTCGATTTTTCGTCCGGTCTTGTCCAATCCGGCCGGACCGGTTCCAACTCTGATATGTATGAAACTAAATTAGGAATTGCTTAACTAAACTGTATTAAGATCAATTTTTGTTTGTTCCTTTTTAATACGAACAAATAATACAAAGTAAATGTTTTAAACTACATTCTGACAGTTATTCTTCACTCTTTTATTATTTTCTATTTTGACAATGTTTTCTGAGTATCTATCGTAAGATCAACATATATATTTGTCCCATCAACAACCAATATATGATGTTATCAGTGTGCTCTACTAACATTTACTAAAACATATATAACGCAATAAGATTAGATCTAATGTTACGAGTATATGACATAAAATGCAACTAGCTGGGATCCGCGTGGGCTACATGTGGTAAAAAAAGAAAAAGTATTTTATTTCACATTAAGACCGCACCTAAGTGTGATTGGTTGATACTATCAGCATATTGCACTAACCTTCACAAAGGCACATGCAGAAGGACAAAATTTGATGCGGTACTATGTACAAAATAATATTAAAATGAAATTAGTTCGAAGTCATAAATGTTGATATAAGAGTTAATAGATATACTGTATTTTTTTAATAAACTATATTAAATTTACTATAGAAATGAATTCATCAAGCAAAAATATCTGGAGAACATTTACGATTAGACTTTTTATTGTAACAGAATATAAAACGTTTTGAGATATATTACTTTGAATTGAAAATGAAATATATAGAAAAATATTTTACAACGAATTGTATAAAATGAAATTTTCAAGTTCAATTCATAAAGAATTGTCTTAGTTTTTTGAATGCTATTTTTCTTCCTATAACAATTAACAACCATGCAAACCAATAAATAACTAATAGAAACGAAGAAAAATAAATTAACAAATTAGTTATTAACATAGTGTTTATTGTTATTGATTATTGCCAGGTTAATAAATCCCCGAGAATTTTTTTTTTCTATAGACTAAAAAATAAAAAGAAGAAAGTTGAAGTGTATGTTTCTTCAACTGCGAGTATATGGATGAAATATAAGCGCATTTATATCGGCTCTTGACTGCGGATTAGGAACTAATGTACGACGAAGTATATCATTAACAGATGGATCGGGATATGCTGGTTGTCCAATTGGAGGATTCGATGCTAAAGCATGATAAGTAGGTGGTCGACCGTAAACCATAAAATAAAGAATAGCACCTAATGACCAAATATCAGCTTTTGGCCCATAAAATCGTTGTAAACCAGCAACATCTTGCATGACTTCTGGGGCACTTTTTTGTTTTTATATAGAAAATCAAATAGAAATTTTTTATATTTATTATTGTTAACTTACCTAAAGAATGGAGTTCCCATACGAGCATGACTATAGAGAAATAAAAGAAAATATTTTGCATAGAAAATAAAAAAAAGGAAGTAGGTCGTTTACCCTAAACTATCAGCTTTTCTTGATATACCTAAATCAGCTATTTTAAGTGTTCGTCCAAATAGAATTAAATTATCTGGTTTTAAATCCATATGAATAATTTGATGTGCATGAAGTGTACGAACAATACTAACCATTTGATGCCAAAATTCTTTAATCATTACTGGATCGATAGATGGACCCGAATTATTGTTCATTTGTCGTAAGCGATTAATTAATGTTAATAAATTTTCTCCACCTAATTCCATAACAATATAACCTTGACAACGAAATACCAAAATAAAAATATTGATGTTTATTCAGAACAATTTCTATCTTACCTTGACCAGATCGGGCATCGAAATCAAAATCATGAATCACAACAACATGACGTGATTCTTGCCGTAATCGTTCAAGATGTGCAACTTCGTTTAGATAAGTTCGAACAAGATTTTGACTACGAGCAGGTGGCAAGCCATTTAAATTAATTACTTTAATAGCTACAGGTCTACCATCCAATCGTTTTGCTTGATAAACAGAACCTATTTTAATAATTAAAAATGAATTTTATTTTGTATAATAAATTAAATTAGAATACCAAAACCACCAGAGCCCAAACGTCGTTCAAATGAATATGGTACATTATGAATCTGAACAGTTATACCAGTATATGGATCTTTGTTAAGGAGCCGATTAGCACGACCTATATAAATGTAATAATCAATTATATTCTATTCGAGCTTAACAATTAAATACAAACTTATCAATCCACCCATATTACTCTATTCTTGGCAAATTGAATAACCCTATGGTTGTTATTGTTATTGATATAGTAAAATATGATGCATATGTAGTTAAAAAAGAAAAACTATGCAAAAATAATAAGCGTAAAGGAAAAAAGAGAAAAAAGTAAGCAAGTGTTCCACATGAATGGATCATGTGCATCGTTGTATTTATACGAACACATGTGGGCGAGAAAAATCATGTTTTTTCGTTGTACCTTTCAAAGTTATTCATTTTTCAACCTGAAAACGTGTCATATGATTACTGTTTAGAATTAATTGAAAATTTTCAAAAGACACTAGTAATATCTTGCACATTAAAATAATTAAGTTGACATGTCAATCAAAAGTATATTCTATCGATATTATTAATTGAGTCAGACAACATAGAAGTATAGGACTGTTTTTTTTCAAACATACTGTTGATGTGTGAAAACATTCCACATCATCATCATTGCGTTTTAATTATCAATAATACGTAAGTTTTAATTTTATTTTTTTTTAAAGAAATTATATAATACAATTTTAATCAATTGATATATATCAAAGTCTATTGAATTTCTTATGTTCTTACTAGTATAGACACTCATATAATCTCTATCTAAACATATCAATCCTTAATTAGAATTGTCAGGTAAGCTGATATTCAGTTCACATAATTTATCTAAAAATTAACTTGATGTAAAAGAGAGAGAAAAATATATATTTTTTGACGTTTTTAATATATCATATGTGTCATTATCGCACTTTTCTTCTGTATAAATCTACTGTGTATGAATAAATGTATATGAATCGAGGAAGAGAAGGAAAGAGTAGAGAACGAAAAAAGAAATCAATGAATGAATAAATACAATTGAACTTTTCGTGTGTTTTTTCGATCGACAACACTCGCCATTCAATATACATGTACATTACTCTGCTGTGTTTTTTTTGTCAATTAAATATGTTCGATAGCAAGCAAGTTTGCGGAAGACAATGTACCCTTTCTTTCTCTTTTTCTATTTATCAATGACGTGTCGCTACTACTATAACTTAGTTGCTGTTCTATATATTATTTGATCAACACTTGACTTTTTCCTATATATATTCATACAATTTAAATTTTTTGTTTTAGATTATGCGAGAATATAAATTAGTTGTATTAGGCAGTGGTGGTGTAGGTAAAAGTGCGTTAACTGTGCAATTTGTTCAAGGTATATTTGTTGGTAAATATGATCCAACAATCGAAGATTGTTATCGTAAAGTAAATTTTTTGTTTATCTTGATTTTTGTTTTTCTAAAAATAAAAACATATTTTTATTTATAAAGGAAGTAGAAATTGATGGTGTTCATTGTATGCTTGAAATTCTTGATACTGCTGGAACAGTAAAATTAATTTTTTTTGCTAAAAATAAACATATATATATATATATGCATTTATTTTTAGGAACAATTTACAGCAATGAGAGATTTATATATGAAAAATGGTCAAGGTTTTGTTCTTGTTTATTCTATAACATCACAAGCAACATTCAATGATTTAGTGGATATAAAAGATCAAATAATGCGTGTTAAAGATATAGGTTCGGAAATACCATTAGTACTTGTTGGTAATAAATGCGATCTTGAAGATGAACGTGCAGTTGGAAAAAATCAAGGTGATTCATTAGCACGTTCATTTGGTTGTACATTTCTTGAAACATCAGCTAAATTAGAAATTAATGTTAATGAAGTAAGATCATATTTATTTACACTAAAATTTTTATTTCTTTTATATATATATATGAATAGATATTTTTTGATTTAATTCGACAAATAAATCGAAAAACTAAACAACCAAAACAAACGAAACAAGTTTCATCACAAGATTATAATCATGCTGAACCACAAGCTGATTATAATTATGGCCAATCATCCGCATATTATGATGATCGACCTACAACTGGCCGTATCAAAGATTGTTGTGTTCTTTTATAAAAATAAATAAATTTGTTTTTATGATAAGTAAAATATTATTTTTTTTCGATTATACAAAGAAAATATTTCGTAATCTTCAAAAGGTAGGTTTCTTTTCGATACAATCAAATGATGTTTTTTTCAAGATGAAGGTCATTCTACTTATAGAAATTGATTTTCTACGAAATAGTTGTTTTGTTTTTCTTGGCAAAACAAAGAATCTCGTGTCACGAGAATGGTTGACTCACTAGGAAAAAAATCATATCTTAGCAACTACTTCATTATCAAAACTAGCGATAATATCCATAAATCATAAATTGATAAAGAAAAAAACAAGTCATGACTTTTTTTTGCGGTATTATACAATGATCTTAATTCATTTGTTGTAGTTACTTGAAATAAAAATATAAACATTCTCATTGTTATAATAATATATACATGATTAATTGAAAAGGTTAACTAAATATTGTTCTGAAATTGAAGCTAAGAAATATGACTATAAAAAAAACAATGCGTCATTTAACGACACTCATAGTCAATATAGTGATGAATCATCAAAATGAAAATCAGAATTTTTCTTTCATATATTCTTTGTTGATGTCTACAAAAAATGTTGCTACCATCAGAACGTATAAAATATTTTTTTTTATAGTGACATGAAAGCATAATCAATATCGTAAAGAGTACTTTTTTGCCTACCAGACAGAGTGTTGTCAACGATAGAGAAAAAAAAGGAAGAGAGAGAGAGCGGGTGAGAAAGAACAAGAATAATTCTTTCGAAATCATCCTATAGATTGTCACGAAAAATAAAACATTACCAAATTTGTTGAAATATGCCAATTTCAGAATACAAATTATGTGTTTTTGGTTCGGGTGGTGTGGGAAAATCATGTCTAGTAAATATAAAAGATTATTTAAGATCTATTTTTGAATTTCATGTATCTAGACTATGCAATTTGTTCAAGGTATTTTTATGCCAAAATATGATCCAACTATTGAAGATGTTTATAAAAAAGTATATTTCATTTTTATATTTCTTTCTTTTTATATTTTTTGAATAATAGACAGTTGAAATTGATGGAAAACAATATTCATTAGAAATTCTTGATACAGCTGGAACAGTAAACTATAATTAAAATAACTATTCTTTTATTTTATTTTCAATTGTTAGGAAGAATTTTCAGCAATGAGAGATTTATATGTTAAAAATGGACATGGATTTGTTCTTGTTTATTCAATAACATCACAAGCAACATTTAATGATTTAGATGAATTTTATGATCGAATTATACGTATTAAAGATATAGAAATTCATGTAAATATAAAGTTTTCAAAAAGGAAAAACGTATAAATTTCTATTTAGGGTCAACCAGCATTAGTTCTTGTTGGAAATAAAAGTGATTTAGAAGATGAACGTGTTGTTGGACGTCAATCAGGACAAGAATTAGCAAGAAGATGGAAATGTACGTTTCTTGAAACATCAGCAAAGAATTTATTAAATGTTAATGAAGTAAGAATAACTTTTGAAGTAAAGATTTTTTATGCTGAAATTTCTTTTTGTTATTTTTAAGATATTTTGTGATCTTGTTCGACAAATAGATCGAGCAACAACTAAATCAAATACTCGTTTTGCAAAAGATCAAGGATCATCGCATCGAACACGAACCATTGACAGTACACATTCATCTAGACAACCATCTTCAAGTAAAAAATCTCGCAAGGGCAAAGACAAATGTGTTTTACTTTGATTTTTGATGTTTCTATGTTATTTTCATAATAAAAAATAAACATGATTATTTTCATTATTTTATTAATTTGTATATTTAAAAAAAAACAAAACTAACAATAAAATATATACAGAAGAGTATTATTCATTCTCTTTTTCATTTTGAATCAAAAAAAATCTACACAAAACAAATGTATCAATCAAAGAAAAAAAATAAACTAAGAAATCTTTCACTACTAAAGAATACTTTTAAAAAAATAATTCTAAATCACAGGTATTATTTCTTTTTTGTCCAATCTGGTTGTAATCTTCTTGAATTGTAATATTCATGAGAAGCTCGATTACATATTGGTAACCATTCACTAGCTTGATCTTCAACGGCCTAAAAATAAAAAAACAATATGATAATCTTTACATTTTTTTTGCTCCTTATTTACTTGAAGATAAACATAAGCATCAGTACCATAACCATCAATGGAATGAATTTCCATATCACCATTAAAATATCGTGCATAAAGTCGACTCTAAATATTGATAAAATAGACACCTGCGCGGAGTCAAGTAAACCTCATGTCAATAATTCGACTGTAGCGTTAAAAATTATTTAAGTTCATAGTTTTGTAGTCCAACATTTTCTCTACAAAATGATGTATTTTGAAGGATCGACAGACGTCTTAGGAAGTCTCAAAACCAAAATAAAATACAGAAAATGTTGGACTACAAAACTATGAACTTAAACAATCTTCAACGTTAAAGGTGAACTATTGACATGCGGTTTACTTGGCTTTTGACAAATATAACGTACTATTGGAAGACCATAACCGAAGCCTGCTAATGGAATTGGACCTGAATGTTGAGCATCATTTAATGACACAGGTCTTGGTGCAGTTGAATACATATATCTAAAAATTGTATCAGCTTTTGAACGAGGAATACCACCACCACGATCACTAAAAAACAAAACATATGATAATTATTTAATCATAGATATTTTTACCTTATACGAATAGTTAAATCTTCTTTTGCTTTAACAATATCAACCTAAAACAGAAGAAATAAAATTATTTTCAAAAACAAAAATTCTAACAAACTTTTATTGCTGGTAATGTACTATCTGTCTTTTTACTTTCGATATATTCTACAGTTGCGCGCATGGAATTCTAAATAAAATTAGTTTTATCAATAAAAATATAAAATAACTAATTTTACTTTGAATAATTCAAACATAACATGATATAGATGTGATGAAACATACGGTATTGCAATGGGTTCATCGGGATTAATTGCTAAATACATAATAAATGATGTTTTATTTTTATTTTAAGAAAAAACTAAACATTCAAAATTACCATTTATACTCCGAAGATCTAAGGTAGGAGATTTTAAATAATAACTGTCACATAAAAATTGAGCATTTTCGAATGCATCTAGAAGCAAAAAAATTCATTTTTTCGTTTAATTAGATTATTTATTTGTTAATACTATTAATAACTTCTTCTACATAACAAGTAGGATCAACAAAACCAAGATGCGAAGGATGTATAGGTACTTCTTCACCAAAACACATTGCTAATAAAAGAAAAATGAAAATAATTACGTGGAATTAAATAAAACCCTTACTGTGTTGATAGATGAGTAAGCGAATTGATATTCGAGATAAATAAAATCTATTAAGAAAATATTGTATTTGTGATTCTTCATATTCTTGTACATGTCCAAAATCGGAGAATTCCATATAACCCTAGAATTAAAATATTATTTAATGATAAAAAACATTTTTCATATTACTTGTGATAATGTTTCAACAACAGTTGTATGTCTTCTTCGTATATTTTGTAAAACTTCAGTAAATCTACATACATCATAATTATAAATCATTTGAATTTTTTTTCTTTACTTTTTAACAGTATCATCAGTTGGTTGTAAACCTTTAAATGAATGTAGTTCAGTTAAACTTGCTCCATACCATCCATTAACTGTTTTAAAACTTGGCATTTGAAGAAGACGTGGAGGTAGATGTGCCATTTCTTTCATCATTGATGCAAGTCGAACTGGTAATTCATTCCGAAGAAATAAAAATGATTGTTTAGCATCACCTTCACGTGCTATTTCATTCAAAAAGAAAATAAATTCAAAAAATAAATAGATAAATTCTATACCAAATTCGACAATTCTTTTCATTGTTAATCCAGTTGGTGCATATTTCGCATAATGATCAACAATATGTGCTAATGATTTATGTGTACGTAAAAAACGAGTAAAATACATTATTTATTTATTTATTCGGCTAATTATGTTAATCATTCTCCATTTATATCTAAAAATTATTTTATTATGAGATCAAGATGATAATAAGTTATATTCTATATATGGGGAAATGGATAATAAAAAAAAAGAATAGTACAAATTTGTTCATTTCTTTGTCCAATCAGATCCTTTTTTTGTCGTATATGAGTAACGTATTTTACTAAATATTGGTAATAATTCACTATAAGATAGATCTTAAAATAGTAATTATTGATTTATAAAATAAATTACCTTGCATTCTCTGCTGCTGCCTAAAATGGAAAAATATTTATAAATGAAGTTAAAAATTATTCAATTACTTTAATCGAAATATATGCCCAAGTACCAAGACCTTCAACGGATGATAAAGCTAGATTTCCTTGGAAATATTTTGCATAAAGACGAGCTATTGGTAAACCATAACCAAGACCGGCAATAGGTGTTCCTTTTGAATCGAGGGTAAAATCTGAGTTAGGTTTAGGTGCAGTTGAGTACATATAATGAAATAATTGAGATAATTTTGATCGTGGAACACCACCTATATAAAGACGTTATTTCTATTTTGATGGAATATTGAAAATATCTGTTTGCTATTGTCATAGCACGAGTATTGATTACATATCATTGTACTTTCACCTGAGATCGAGGGCCAGACAATATAATCTATTTGTTATATTTTCGAGAAACAGAAGTATATATATGTGATCCTATTTTCACGTGACCTATTTGATTTTTAATTGATACACTTTATCACATAATACTTTTCCTATAATTATTGATACTTGAATCCTATACATTAGTTTTGTCATTCAGTATTAATCGAGTCAGATTTATTCTATTTATGTAATTATAACTGAGAAAACTTACCACCCCTGTCAGCTATTTGTATTGTTAAGTCTTCGTGACCTTTAACAATACGAATACATACAGGTGGATATTCTTTCGCATCGAGACCATACCGTTCGACAGTTGCACGAAGAGAATTCTACGATATAATAAAATTAAAATTTATAATAGAAAAAACAACTATACCTTTAGTAATTCAAAGATAATATGATAAAGATGAGCTGGGATATAAACAAAAGTCACATCATTCTTTTCGTTTTCATGTACTTAGAATATAAAAAAAAAATATTATTATATTTAATATTTATAGAATAGCTTTACCATTGTGAGACGAAATTTCAATTGTAGGGACTGGATATGAAGCTCGTTCGAACAATTGTTTTGCCGTAGCATAAGCATCTATATAAGCGAAAAATGTATGGAGATGAAATAGATTGGTAATCGATCTCAGCGCAAATATTGTTTTTCTTGTCTGTCTTTTATCGTTATTTTTTCGTAGAATAGAATGAAAAAAAAAAAGATGTTCTTTTCTTTTTCTTTTCTTTCTGATTGCATTTATAGTTGAATACGACTTACACATTCGAAAATTGTTCGCTCCAGGTATTTTGTTATCAGAAAAAGAATCAACTAAAAAATTTTCTTCTACTTTTAAAATGACTAGTTATTATAACTTTAGTATAGAACAATTTATTTATTTTAATAATAATTTATCTAAAGATTAGTTTATGTGACCTTCACTATTTTACAAAATGGCATTTGATAAACAAACAATGTGTATGTAAATATAGAAATGGTCTTTTTTTTCAGTAAACTAAAGCAACAATATTCGTTTAATTTTTAATTATCTTTAATAAATATTTAAAAGATAAACAATCTTTCCGGCACATTTACTTTAATAAAAAAAATCTGTTTTGTTTTATTTGACAGGTGAAGTAATACTCACAAAATAATCAGTTTTATATACACTTAGAGATAAAGTATGATGAAGGCAAAATGTATTTAGACGCCGTACTTTTTCTTTATGATATTTGATTACAGTCTATTCACATGTAACATATTCATCTATTTATAACAACCTTTAAATTATTATTATCAGTCGATAACCTCATATACAGATGTTTGGAAGAATTTCTTTTTTTTTGGAATAAAAATTTACCTCTAACTATACTTGCAACATCACAATAAGGATCGATAATACCCGCTTGTTGTGAATGTTGAGGTAATTCATTACCAAATAAAAGAGCTAGAAAAAAACATGATTTTAATAAATATTTAATTAATAAAATAAAGATTTTTTTTTTATTAACTATGTTGATAAATTAATGTTCTTATACCAATACGATTCATAAAGAATCGATCATAAAAATATTGTAAACGATTTCTTTCTATTAAATCAATAGGACCTGCTTTTTCAAGTTCCATATAAGCCTAAAATATGAAATTTATTAAGTATCAAAATAAGAAATCTGTTATAAACTCGTGCTAGTGTCGGGACAATATTTGCATGTCGTCGACGAATTTCAACTAATGTTTCTGTAAATCTATAGAAAAATAAGAAGATAAATCCTATTATAAACTAAATAGTATTGAAATACTTGCGGAGTGTTGTTGCATCTGGTTCAGCATCTTTAAATGCAAGAACTTCTGAAAAACTTTGATCATATAATGAATTTGCTAATTTCAAACTTGGCATTTCAAGTAATCTAAGAATGAAATGTAAGTTTTATTTGTTTACTCTTATATATACATATTTGTTATCATACTTAGCTGGTATATAATCCATTTCTTTACGCATATGAGACCATCGAACAAGTAATTCAACACGTAAAAATTTATATGAATGTTTCATATCACCATCAACGGCTACAAAAAGACAACGACAACAATAATGTCGAGAGATATTTCTTCTAAATAAATTTTCTTCAACATACCAAAATCAATAAGACTTTTAAGTGTAACCGGTGTAGGTTGAAATTTTGCATAATTATCAAATTGATTTGCAAGTGTAAAAAGTCTTCGACTAAACTGCATATTTCTATGTACACTACCAAGATATCTGAAGACTAGTCTCATTATTTCATATATATATATATCATAGCAATTAAAAAAACAAACATTTATTCATGTGTTATTTCATATCAAAATGAGATCAATTTCGATAGTATCTAGGTTACAGATATAACTTACAGTATAATTTTTTTCCTGAAGATAATACTCAATTAATAACAATCTAAAGAAAAAGGTATTAATAACGATTTTTCAATACATAATAATTATGTTAGTAAACAAACAAACAAGAAAAAATAACAGATCATTATGAAACCATGAATTTTATTTAAACATGAAATAAAGAAAAAGAATTAAGTTTATGAATTAAGTAAACGTTGTGTTGTTTGTGTAACTTTGTTTTCAATATCTGTTACATTTGTATCAACAAAAGTTAACATTTTAAAACATGAATCTAATGTTTTTGTTAATTGTTTTATATTTTGTTCATTAACAAGTGTTGTATCAAGTTGTTGATTTGTTGTTGTTAAATCTTGATCAGGATCATTATCATCATCTTGTTCATTCATTTTATCAACAATTTCTTGTAAATCTTTTGTTGAACATTTAACTAATGAATCTAATTGCTCCATTAACTGAAAATTTTTCATACGTTCATTAAATGTTAATGGTAAATTTTGATTTAAATATAAATTTTGTTGTTGAATTGAATAGATGTCTTGTTGTAATGGTGGTAATTGTGAAATATCATTTTCTAAACTTTTTAAATTTAATTCTAATTCTTTTTCATGTGTATCTAATAATTTTAATTCATCTTGCAAATGATTTTGTTGTAATTGCATTTGATTTATATCACGTTGAATTAATTGTAATGTTTCACGATATGCTGATAAATCAACATCACGTTGTCGAACTGATTGAGAAAGATTTTCATAAGATAAACGATGTTTTGTATCAAAATCAGTTTGCCATTTTGTTAATAAACGTTCAAAATCACGATATGTACGCGTTACTGGTTTATTTGTTGTTGTTGTTGTTATTGTACTTGTACTTGTGATTGGAATTGTTGATGGAGTTGTAGTTGTTGTTGTTGATTGTGCTTGAAGAAAAAAATTCATCTAGAATTTATAGAAGAAGAAAAAATTAAGCTATTTATATTTTTATTTGTTTAATAGTCTCTTGAATATTATGAATATCATGAAAACATGTTTCTAATTCATCTGTTGTATTTATAATTGATTCATCTGTATTTATTTTAAGTATATGATTAAGTTGTTTCATAGTTTGATCAAGTTCAGTAAGATGAGTATCAACTGATTCCATAAGTTCATAAGTTATTGAACGATCCTGTTCAATTTTTGGATTTGATAGAATAGTTGGTAGTAAATTTTTACTTTCTGTATTTAAGTTGTCAATATCAATCTCGAGTTCATCATTATATTTAGTTAAACTTTGAACTGATAATTGAAACTGTTGTAGATTGCCTTCGAGATTTGTAAGTAAATCTTGAGTTTGAATAAATGATTCAGTTGTTTTATTCAGTACTTGTTGTTTTTCATTTAATTGTTTAGCATAGTCAAGAAGATATTCTTCATTTTTTAATAAATCATGATGCCATTGATTGATTATTTGTTGTAAATCATTGGATGTTTTATTAGGTTTAGTAAGAATTGTTGAAATTGATTCACTTTTTGAAGATGAAGACATGGTTTTTACTATTTTGTGGTGAAAGTAAAATGAAAGGAAAAGAAAATATTACATACAAATATGAATGAAGAACAAAGAATCTATTGGGTAGAACGTGCAAATATATTATTTACATAATAGATGTCAGTAGTGGTAGGAAGATTTTTTTTCACACACAAAAAAGACGGAAAGTTATATTATATATGATCGGAAGAAGTCGAATTAAGATTGTTTGAATTATTAGTTGTAGATCTTTATTTAACATAAAGAAAAAATAAAAAATGACAACAAAAATGATAAATTTTTTTTATGAGTACAAATAGTGCCTGACAACTATAACTGTAAAACATATATTAATAGATAAACTTGTGTGTCATAATTGCCATTATTTAGTTTAAATGTTCATCAATATCGATTATTTCACCTGAAATATTCAATAAATCCCGCTCACCATGTGCATCATCTTCATACAACATGAATTTTGCTGTTCTTGTAAATAATGGACGTTGAGCACATAAACAATTAGCAATGTCATTCATATTCATATTTCCGGGTGGAAATAATCTTTGTTATGATTTATTTTTGCCGATAAAGAGCATAGCACCATTTACTTGTATGGTACATAGATAGTACTTACGTTTACTTCTTGTCCTTTCTGGAAAACATTTTTCAAATTCGTTAAAAAATTGTAATCTTTCTTCTACCCAGGTCGAACAATCCAGCACGGAAACGGCCGGCTCCGTGGTATTTCGGAGATTTCATGGAAGCAGTATTCCCGTTGAACGGATCCGGTAACTGGATTTATCTGATTTGGGCCAGAACCGACAGAAACATGTCAAAACCGGCAGCCGAATACGATTACCCCACCTCCCCATCGGATTTCTGGTATTTTCCATGCGAGTCCTGCCAGAAAATGGCGAATTTCCTCAGAGATTTTGCCGGAAATTCATGGAATCCTAATTCAGGAACCATCGTCCTGGGTTGGTTATAAATCTTTATTAAACATTTTTCTGTATCAGTAAAATAGTCTTAATCACTTTATTAGAAATATAATTATTCCATTAATATGATCGCTAGATTTAGTATCCATACTGACATATTTGTGTTGAAATTAATATAAATGATCTTTGTATTATTTTTAATTTTAATTAATGATTCTAGTTATCATACAATATATTAATCATCTAAATAGCAATATTTTAGTTACAAAATAAAATCTTCTTTCAAAGCGAGGATAACATTTTCTGATTCATTTTTCACTATTTGAATGTTAGTTGAGTGAATGGTTGTGAGTGTGTATAAAATGAATATAATATTTACATCCTCAAGAAAATATTACGGGCATATTTTCGAAATGTTCGACAGTTCAGACTATTTAGCTGTAACTCAGAAAATGTTTTGACAGTATTCTTTATATTGGATGTCTACGGAGAACAAAAAACGAAAAGCTCTTTGTATATTTCTTGCTCTAGAACAGCTAGATAAAAAAAAGAATGCCAATGAATCTACTCAGAGTGCAAAACTATCAATTTTAGAGTTCATTCAAGATAACACATTACTAGCCGTTCTAAATATTCAATAAAATAATATGCTAGGATTTTAATGTAATCAACTTAATTTTATGAGTAAACATTTATTCGTATATTGAGATAACGTTAGCATTATTTTCCAACGTAACAAATATTGTCTAAAGTGTTTTTTTATCGATATGAACAGTTATAATAATTCGAACAATCACAAATACTTCAGTTTATCGTAAAATAAAACTACTACACAATAACAGACCGATCGATTGATCTTATACTTTGTACTTTTTCTACCGTTAAAATTGTTTTCAAATATGTCGTCGTCGTATAGTTATCAAAAGAATAACGAAAACAAATACAAATAAAATAACGGTAAAAGACAAATAAGAAAATAAAATTTGATGAACAATGAAATGACAAAAAAGTACATTGATGTTGTTTAAAAATAGTATAGACGATCTATTGATTCTATTGTCATATTGTCTGAAATTATTTTCTCTCGGTCTTTCGTTTATTCTACTTCCGGCCAGAACGGAAACAACATCAAATATTAGTGTTCTAGAAATTCTTTTAATTATAACTAGGTCAATGATGAGAAAGCGACTAGTTTACCATTATCAATAACATATATCATCTCATAATCTTGGGCAAAGAACTACAATGCTGCATATCGTGCAATACATCAGTATACGGACCATATTGTTCAACCTGTGTATCTAATTTTTTTCATATATTAATGAATGTTCGTCGGATAGCATTTCAAATTTATCTACTTAACAAATTGTATTATCAATTAGAATAGTTAATAAGAATAGATATTCTAAAAGTAGAGTCAAATGAGAATAAGAATAAATTATAACTTTTATGAGTAAACAAACAAGAATCGAAAAAAGTTGCTATCGTATAAAATATTATGCTAACATCTAAAATAATAAATAAATCATATACAAGATTTCTATGATACTTTATCAAATTCAAAGAATAAAAATATAAAATTTGAATTTCAACGAATATATTCATTCAATTTTCTAATTTAAATGAAAGAATTAACAATGAACATTAATTGTATTGCATAAAACTGATATATATTTATTAATGTTTTTAATCGATACATTGACAAATTTGTTCAAAGAATAGTTAATGAATTTGTTTTGTTCTTTCTTTATTTATATATTTTTTTGATTAATTTATTTTCGAGAAAATAATATTTGCATTAAGATAATATAAAAAAAGAGAAATATATAGATGACAAAATCATTATTCTTCTTTTCATCTTCCTCCAACAAATATACTCATACAAAAGTATTTCATACGTTCACAATTGTATCTATCGTTTAGATGAGTATTTGGCTCTTTATAATCATCATTGGACAAGTGTCGGGTAAATAAATATATAGTTTTTCTTAAATTTTATAGAAATTATTTGTCAGTATTAGTTCATCCAACATAATACAATGAAACCTATTGTTCCTTTTTTTTTGAATTTAAAATCATTCTCTGAAATTTTCAACTATCACTTTGTATGATATGAGTTGAAAATATTCAATTAAATAATTAATAATTGTAAATCATTGGAACTGATTGAACTATCCACATCTTTCTCTTTAACTAAAATCAATGATTATCATATGTATCACTAAAGCAATAAAAATTAAAAGAATATTTACACGATGTTTTAAGTAATGAAAAGACAAAATGAAGATTATGACTATTACAGTTATTGGATAATTTTGTATGAGATTACGAAAAAAATAATCTTGTTCATATCTTTATTAATTAGCTCTTTCTTATAATCTGCCGAAATTTTGTTCAAACGCATCATGGGATTTAAATGCAATTACTTTTACAAATATCAGTACAGTTACCGGAGCTCCTTTGGCTATTTTTATCAATACTAATGACACAATCTATGTTGTTGATCGAGCAAATAATAAAATTCAGATATGGTTCAACAATAGTATCGGTCGGACACAAACAATTCACGGTAATTTTTCAGCATCTTTTTCTATTTTTGTTACAACTAATGGTGATATATATGTTGACAATGGAGCATTCAACCATCGAGTAGATAAATGGACATTAAATGGAAACATTAGTGTTTCTGTCATGTATGCTAGTACACCGTGCTTTGGTCTCTTTGTTGATACCAATGATACTCTTTATTGTTCAATGTATTTGCTTAATCAGGTTGTCAAAAGATGGTTGAATGATAATTCTAGCACATTAACAACTATTGCTGGTACAGGAACTGCTGGAAATACCTCGTCTATGCTTCATAATCCTTGTGGTATCTATGTTAATACCAATTTTGATTTATATGTAGCAGATTATTTCAATAATAGAATACAATTATTTCAGTCTGGACAATTAAATGGAACCACAGTAGCCGGAGCAGGATCATTAAATACTACAATTACACTCAATGGACCAGGTGCAATTATTCTCGATGCTGATAATTATCTTTTTATTGTGGATTATCTCAATAGTCGTATTGTTGGATCAGGACCAAATGGTTTTCGTTGTTTAGCTGGATGTTCTGGTTCATCTGGTTCAGCGCCCAATCAGTTATCAAATCCTGCTACTCTTAGCTTTGATAGCTATGGCAACATGTTTGTTACAGATTTAGGAAATAGTAGAATTCAAAAATTTATACTATCAACAAATCCCTGTGGTAAGTATATGAGTATTTGATTTACTTTTCGAGCAATTTTTCTGCCGCTCGATTGAGCTCGCAGCATTATTTGTGATTTTCGGAGCAATCTTTTTTCAAGTGGTTGATCTTATAATAGTATACGAAATCTATATTAAGCTCGATATTCATATTAAGAAGTATGACTTTTATTAAGCAAATAATGAAGATGTGAAAAACTATTGTTTTGTAGAACCCTATAAATTATCATAGCTCAAAAAGAAAGAAGCTTTTCGCTTCAATATTATATCATACAATGAAAAACGGACACTTGCTTTCCAGAATAAAAACAAAAACATAGCCTCAGGCCAAATGGTCTTTCTAATTCTTCAAATTTTTCCAAATCTAAAGATTTACAAGATGTCAAACTCTATCAAAACTACGAGTTTTTACTTTTAGTTGAGCCAGATGCCCTATTAAAAATCAATATAACAAGAGTAAATGACAAAGTGTTCTCATAAATATCGTATTTATTTCTTCTGTTTTAAAAAAGATATATCATCGTTCAATAAATACTATAGTAATCCAAACGACAAGCACATGAGAAAATATTTACACTGAATAATTAGAATGAGTTTATATTGTCTAGCATGAATTATTGAACAGATAAAATATATACTCATAAAAGAGGGTTATTGATGAAAACACTATTTTTATTAATATTATATTAAAGATGAAATAACATCAACAGTTACATCAACTACAACAGTTAATCCAACTACAACAGTTACATCAACTACAACAGAAAATCCAAAAGGTTTGTTAGAAAACATAATTTTCAATATTACAGATAAGTATTTCTAGAACAAGTAACTTCTACAGAACCGATAACTTCCACAAAACAAATAAATTCTACAGAGTCGATAACTTTTACAGAAAAAATAACTTCTACAGAATACATAACAACTTCAAAAAGATTGATTACTAATCAAAGTAAGAGTTTTAAAGTAAATAAATTCAATTCAAATATTAATGATTTAAGCTTGTTTCTCACCGA